AAGTCAGTTCAAGAGGCTGTGATTGCAGTCTGGCCTAAAATGCTGGAGGATGTTTTTGAGACTCATCATTTACAGCACAATTAGCATCTTCCAAAGCAACAGATGTTGCAGCATCTGAGGGAAGGTGTTTTCTCCAAACATGGTCCAGGCTGCTGCTGAATATTTCCTGAGCTTGGAATCAGGCAAAATAAGCAACTAGAGCTGAGGGTGCTGCACTGACCAGGGGAAGATGAGGGCATGGCAGGTCTGTGTTTTCAGGGAGAGCTGGAATTACTTCATTTCTCATTTAGTGATGGCTGAAGGCACAGAACCTCTCCCAGGAGCTATTGATTCAGAACTGGTGCTCAGAGGCATCATTTGAGGGATCCCTCTGTATTTGCTCAGTGGCAGCCATTAAGATGAGTCCTAGAAGTCAGTAACATTTCAAAACTGTGATTAAAGGCTCTGATAAATGTGTCCAGCTAAAACTTAGGTAATTTTATTCTCCCTCACTTTCCCCCTTAATTGAGGATCTCTCCATTGTCCCCAGAACTCATGCTTGGTCTTGCATTTGTTATTAAGCTTTTCTTTTTCTAGCCCACACTTGAATCACACATTTGCAAGGAGAGGAAACAAGCACATTCAAAAGCAGAAAATAAGAGTAGTTTTTCATTTTCTTTTTTTTTCAATGAATCGGATGCCTTATGCAAAGCCCATTGAATTCCATGTGAGTTTTCCCCCTGACTTCAATGGGCTTTGGTTCTGGCTTTTAGCTCCCCTGAAAGGTCCTGAACTATCTGTGCTAGGGTGACAAGGAGGCTTGGAGAGACAATTCCCAGAGCTCTTCTCAGCCCCTGGCACAGCCAGGTTGCTAAGGAGACTTGGCCTGGCCAAGCTCCTGGAGCTCCCCCTTTCCGGGGTTATTGTCTGCTGTCCCTGCCAAGGCTCTCTGGTGGCAGCAGTGCCACTCTCCCAGCCACAAAACCTCTCCCCTGGCCTCTGACAGCAGCAATTCCTGCCCTGCATCTCCCCTCTGCCAGCGTGCTTGGCCAGCAGCCTCCCTTCCCATGGCTGCTCCATCCTGCTCCAGGGCTGGAGCGGTGGGCTTGTGGCTGCTGGCCTCCCTCTGCTCTGAGAGTTGGGCTTTGGTCCCTGTCAGCCACCTCCACACCCCAGCATCTTCATCTCCTACGGCTGCATCACTTCCCTCTTTCTCTTCTCTCTCCTTTACCCCCTTCTCTCTCCTTTGCCCAGCACCAAAAAAAAAAAAAAAAAAAAAAAAAAAAAGCCAAGGAATCTTCTGTTCAGGGGATTAAATTCCTTAAGGAGCCCGTTCTCAGGATTCCTTGTTAAGTGTGTAGGCTCCTACAGTCATTTCCAGTAGCAGGACAGGCTCCCACCATCTCTAGGTGTCCTGCAGTACTTTGGACTTCCTAGGAAGTTCCTTCCCTTGTGCCAGGTTTTTTTTGTGGTTTTTTTTCTTTTGTTTTGTGTTTTTTTTTTGTTGTTGTTGTTTGTTTGTTTGACGCTTTTTTTTGTTTGTTTGTTTTTGTTTTTGGGTGGTTTTTTTTGGACTTGGAATTTTCCAGCTTTCCTGGATTCTTTGTAGTTTTATCTCTTGGAAGGAGGTATTTTGAAGTTTTAACATTAACAGGCTAAATGACAGTTTCCTCTAAGCCTTTTGGGCAAGGTCTCTTTGTCAGTATCCCTTCAGATAGCAACTCTTGTTTGTCTACAGATAAGTGAGCAGAAATATTCAAACCCTGGGCACTTTTATGGTGGTGTAAAATTTAGGTGTTTGTGGCCTTGAATCTGATATATCTCATGTGAGCAATCATTTTGACTCTGTGTTTTGTAGATAACTAATTCCTCAGACGGGGATGATGTTGATTTTGTATCTAAACTGCAAGCTGGTATCTTGTCTCTTGTGGTGGGATCCAGCAGGAAGCATGTTGGGAGTGATTTTCTGTATTATAGTATAAGTTTTTGACTTGTTTTTATAACAAATTGTGTCATTAGTGAGATTGCAACACTGAAATGTCAGTGCTCAGGCAGCATATATTTATTTCTCAAGGTGTTTATTCAAAATTCAAAATATGATGAATGAACAAGGAATAGTGAAATCACGCCCCAGAGCTATGAGATTTGCTGCCAGCTTGTTTTGTATAAAAATATTGTTTAAATAACTGGAGATGTATATGGTCACAGTGTTTTAGTGATGATCTTGATTATAATTATTAGGTAATGATACTATCACTTTCACCAGCCTTAAAATTTTTTTTAAAGGCAATTTTGACTCCTTTGCTGGTGTTCAGTAAAAAGGAACATGCTGTTTCCATCTAATATTAGTGCAGCTAGCTGTTTGAGTGATGATATCTGCTTACAAATGTACAGCTTGTATTTTAAATGCTGAATAGTGATGTGAGATTTATGAATATGGCTTTGACAGTACCTGTGCTTAACAGAGACCTTGGATGTGTGTGGGTTTGCAGAGACGTAGGATAACTTCAGGATGTTTTTGGATAACGTCCTGAAACGAGTATTTCCAGGAAAAGGTGCTCTACAGAATTAAGCTTGGTCGTTGGTAATTATGGAAGTTTCTTTGTAGTTATTTTTCCCAATCCTGAGTGTTTTTTGTGGGCTCTTTGGACCCCATGCCTGCTGGATTTACATGGTGATGGTTTTGTTCTCCTGTGCTGTTTGCCTGTGTGGGCACAGGACTACTCCCCTCTGCTGAAGTGGAGGAGTTGGTGAATACTGATCCATGTGGGGGAAGGCAACAAAAGTTTATTTTTAACGTATTTCCCTTTAGAGAAGAAATTTCACAAACAGCCATACGTATATGCCCATCCACATACACACACTTTAATTTTTTTAATAAAACTGGGGGCCAAGAGTGTGAGAACTCTGCTTTTACTCCTTTGCTTTGCCTCCTCTTTTTTGGTAGAGGAAATGCTTGACAGTCATCAATAAAAGATTAAATCATTGATGGCTATCAGGATAAACGAAACACGTCTTGTGTGTGGATGTTGGCATAGTAGGAACTTTTCCAAGATGTTTCAGGCCTCATTCTCTGGTTTGTTAAAGGGCAGAGAATAAGGTCACAAAGGAAATCAAACCCTGATGTGGAGAAATGAAACATGAGGCCTACTGACTTCTAAAAAACATTTTAAATAACATTCTCTAAGGTTTCATTTTATACCGAAGGCAGCTGTAATAAGTTTTGGAAGATGGTGTAAGGTTTCTATTAAAGAGAGATTTTTGCTTGCTGTTTTTGTACCCAAATGAAGGAATGAGGGAGATGGAATTAGAGCTTATTTAGTATAAGGTGAGAAACTAAAAGTTCTCTCCAGAACTGTAAAATAATAATTTATATGTTCTAGTGCAATTTACAAATTAAAAAATATGAAACTGTTCCTAGATCTTCAAAAATGACACACATAGCCATGGAATAATTTAGTAACTGCAATTCAAGTGCACTTTTGCCACAAGTAAAATAAGACTGCTGCTTTGTAGTGTGCTGCCAGCATAGCCTCAGTGAATAAATTCCCAGTAGATGTTTGCTGCATGCCAAATGTATTGGACTGTATAAAAGATCCCATTGTTCAATGGCATCATTATTTGCTATTATACTCACAATGTTTGCTTGTGAAACAATTTATTGGAGACAAGTATGTTTAAGAAAGAACGCTTGGTTTGAAATTCAGCTGATTTGGCTTGTAATGTCAGAGCATTTACAGTATATAGCCTCTAAAAATAAATATTTAGGTCTGCTATTTTTTACTTATCTTTGAAAGAATTCCTGGAGCGGGGGAGAATGCGAAGCTGAGGCTGGGGATGGCCAGCGAGCATTTCACTTCTGATTCATAGAATTGTTCAGGTTGGAAAAGCCCCCTAAAATCATTGAGTCCAATTAATTAACCCAGCAGCGCCAAGGCCACCCATAAACCACATCCCCACATATCACATCTACACACATGACCTTCAGATGTCCTTTAGCCTGTTCCAAAGCTGGGCAGCCCTTTTGGTGAGGGAATTTCCCCTGATACCCAATCCAAACCCTCCCCTGGCACAACCCGAGGCCATTTCCCCTCCTCCTGTCACCTGTGAGAGGAGCCTGGCTCCCACCTGGCTCAAACATCCTATCAGGGAGTTGTAGAGAGTGAGAAGGTCCCTCCTGAACCTCCTTTTCTCCAGGCTAAATAACCTCAATTCCCTCAGCTGCTCCCCATGAGAGGTTCCCTGAAAATGTGTGAGAAATGCTTATGCATGGGCATAGATTAGAAGCTGAATTGGCTCACATTAAATACACTTTCATTTTCCAGAGAGCTCTGTATTTGCCTGTGTCTTGGTGAGAATAAGAACGAAGCAGTGTTTCTGCTGCTGTGTCTGGATGGTGGTGGTGGCACTGATTGGAGCATTTTAGGAAGCTGAGCTGCCTAGTTTGTGCATCCTGCACTTCTGCTGCTATTTCTGAGAAATTCCTTTTGGTTTATTTTAATACGTTTTAAATCAATCATTATTCAAAATTAATCAATAATATTTCTTCCTAATGTGTGTCAATAATATTTCTTCTTAATCAAAAAAATTAATCAAAAATTGATCAATAATATTTCTTCTTAATGTGTGGAGGTCTAGTCGAGTCAAGACGTTCTAGAACTCAGAGGTAACTTAATTACGGTAGCTTAAAAAAACCCAAAAGGAGATATTTTACCTAATTAGGGTTGAGTTAAACCACGGAAAATGAGCAAAGTGTTTTAAGCAGGGTTTTTCTCTCCCTCCCCCCAAATGGCTATTCTTTAAATTACAAGTGTAGCGCTCAAGCCATCTCCTTTGAACTGCAGGTTTTGTTACACGCTTTGGCTGCGGCGTTACTTCGGAGGAGTCAGCCAACAGGCTTACAGGGCTTTTTGGCTGGGGTTCACTTACAGTTTTCTTGGCAGCCCTGCTTATTTATGCATCTTTATTTCTCTCTCTCTCTCTCTCTCTTGCTCCTTCCCCGCCGTTCCCTGCTGGCGCAGAGCGCTCCCCGCACCGGCCCATCCTGCAGGCGGGGCTCCCCGCCAACGCCTCCGCCGTGGTCGGGGGGGATGTGGAGTTTGTCTGCAAGGTCTACAGTGATGCCCAGCCCCACATCCAGTGGATAAAGCACGTGGAGAGGAACGGCAGTAAATACGGGCCAGACGGGCTGCCTTATCTCCAGGTTTTAAAGGTGAGGCTTCGCAGATGCCGGCGGTGGTGATGCCTTCTTTAGAGCGTGGTGTAAATCCGAGGATTTTGAGTTCTGAGCTTCTTTTGAAAGTGGAGATGTTTATGTTAGAAGTGAAATGATGAGTTAGATAAACATTTGCTTGTCTGAATGCTAACTGTGCAGCTTATCGACACTGTTTTGCTCCTTTTTACTTCCATGAGAAATCGTTTATATCTGAATGTTTCAGGCATGACTTGTTAAGAAAAAATGAAAATCCTTCTAAAGAACATCACTGACATTTCTGTATAGGTAGAAAGCATCCAAAACATACTTGGGACAATCTTCTCCATTTCTTTCATGTTTCTTCAGCCTCTTGATTTCAAAGAAACATGGCAGCTGCTGCCAAAGGCTTGCTGGAGGACTGGGCTGTCAGGATGCTGAGATGTCTGGTTTGGAGCAGTGTATTGGTACTGTCATACCTGCCCGTTTGGAGCAAGCCTGACAGGGAAACTGAAGCTTTCCAAGCTGGGTGGCATTGCCAAAACTCTGTCAGGCAGGACAGCCAGTTCTGTACCTGCTTGTCCCATGCAGTACCTGCCTAGGTGGATTCTTTTTTCCCCCCACGCTGCTGTTTTCTAACTCCTCGTGTGATGCTGCAGATGTAAGAAAACCAAACAACAACAACAACAACCGAAAGGAAAATAAAAAACCCTACAAATTCCAACCCCAAGCCTTTCAGTGTTTAGAAGCTGATGTGGAATATTCTGGTGACGTGTTGGTGGTGGGACCATAGACAGATTGGTGTCCGTTCTGGGCAGCAGTGACGTTGTTCTCCTGTGTTATTGGTCTGTTCTAGCACTCGGGGATAAATAGTTCCAATGCTGAAGTGCTGACACTGTACAATGTGACAGAGGTGGACGCTGGAGAATATATTTGTAAGGTCTCCAATTATATAGGGGAGGCCAACCAGTCTGCCTGGCTCTCTGTTCTGCCAAGCATACAAGGTAACAACGTTTTTTAAAGCAAGCTGGAAAAAATGGTGCTTTGGGAGACTGCAGGCAGCTTGTAGGATACTCTCTGGCCTTGGTGGTATATGTGTAATCCTCCTTTGGTGATGCAGCTGGTGTTACACCAGCAGCCATGGAAAAATTCCCACAATATTCTCTGTACCAGAAGCACTGCTTTGGTTTCTGTTTGCTGATCTTTATTCTCTCTTTGGTGTCTTTGTGTCTGCGTGTGCTGAACAGTTTTGTTGTTGATTCTGCATACTCTGCAGTTCACACCAAGGGTACTCCTTGAATAATGTAATTACAGCCTAGCAGTGTATATTTATATATACACATAGGTGTGTATGTATATGACCTGTTCACATAAAAACCCCCTGGAGCACAAGTCAGGTCAGTTTAGTCACTGTGACTGTGCAGGTGGGAGGATTTTTCCAGGTCTTACTCATCCATTACTAACTGGGTTTTACTCAGCAGTAACGATAAAGACAGGCAACCGTGTGACTGCAGCCCACAATTAAATTAACCTCAAAATTGTCCAATAAAAAGGTATTTATTCCCTGATTGTGTATTTCAAAGTAACATTTTTGAATGGAACAGAGATCAAAAGTAGCAAACATTAATTTCTCTAAACCTCCATCACTGAGCTCTTGATGCTGACGCTCTGATGTGCCCATCTTGGGGCAGCTTGGGAGTTCCAGGCCTAAAATTTACTCCATTTGTATGAGTTTGGATACTTGGAGTGGTGCACAAGTCTGGAAGATCACTAATAAAAAATGCAAAACGTGCAGTTTTTTTTCCCCTCAATCTTTAGGTTGTAGAAAAATATATTTTATTTCTATTGTCTGGTTCTCAAACCTTTGAAGTCTTTTCTCTCCCACCTGTGAGAGCCACAACTGAACAAGATCTCTGATTTCTGAGCAAGAATTGGGATAATTTTCACTGTGCTTCTAGGCAAACCATCAAATATTTCCAGATCTGAGATTTAAATGAGATTTGGCAACTCTTCACAATGTACAGTAGTAGTTACTACTCAAAAGTGCAGTGCAGTGGGTGATGCAAGGATCATACCATCTAAGACAGCTACAAATTTGTCTTTTGGAACAGAATTCACCCCTTTTTTATCATTTTAGAGTATACTTTTACTTTAGATTCTTTCTTCTGAAACACGTCTCTACATGTGAAGGATCCCACATTCTGTCCTACTTTGTTTTCTCTTTGTTTTTCTTTCAACTTTCTCTCGTCGCAAAAGAAGAAGGCAAAAAAAAAAAAAAAAGATTTGTGGGTGAATTTTTCCATGTCTTTTCATTGCATGCATGTTTAGGTGGTGAGTTTAGGCCTGGTGAAGGGTGTTGATTACTTTCTGAGGTGAGCTGGGACCTGTTGGTAAACGCCTTTTGGATGAGGGATTGTGGATGGGGAAGGAGCTTTGCATCTCTCCACCTCTGCCTTTACCAAGTGCAAAGCCCTGTGGCTCCATCTCCCTATCCACAAAATTTCTCTCAGTGTCTAGCTTTTTCTCTTGCTTCCCTCTTGTTTTTTTTTAGGCTGCCGGTGTTAACACCACGGACAAAGAAATTGAGGTTCTCTATATACGGAATGTAACTTTTGAGGATGCTGGGGAGTATACATGCTTGGCGGGTAATTCTATTGGGATATCCTTTCACACTGCATGGTTGACAGTTCTGCCAGGTATACACTGCTCTCTTTCTGTGGTTTTTCCTCTTTTTTTCCCCTCCCCTCCCCTTGTTGATTGCTGAAGAATTAGCACGGCTTCTGTCTCAAAAAAAAAAAAAAAGGACTTTTACAATGATTTTGGTTTTTTTAAGCGCAGTTGTCTCAAGAAAGTGAGTTGTTCTGTCACGTGTTTGCAACTCCAAAAACCAAACGGCAACAACAACAGAAGAGTGGAGTATGTGGCTATTCCACTTAATTGAAATGCTTTTACATCATCAGAAATGCTAAGGAGCTGCATTTCCTTAGCACTTCAGTGAGACAACTGAAAATTAGCCCATAAATCATTGTAAACTTTGTCAAGAGGATGAAATTCAGTTCGTTACAAAGTTTGGAACTAATTTGGCCATAGTTATGTACTGGCTCATTAAAATGCCTGAGCTGTTCAGTGTACTTCAATTCACTTTTACCTATCATGCATATCTCTCATGGAAATTCCAGTTTCAATGCCAGAGGATCATGTACAGAAGCAGTGCCTTCCATATCTTGGGAATCGGCTCCGTGCATCTTTAAACATTGCATGCTCTAAGGAAATAAGTAGTCATTTGCTTTTACTGCAAAGCATGTCTTGCTGTTCTGGGGTTGATGATGTTTCTGTCCTTAAAAGAAACAAACATCAATGTGCTTTATTGCCTGAAAATTATTATCAGCTGTTAGAAGATGTAACCGTAGTTGGTTTTGACATTAGTCAAATTTTCTCATTTATAACTGTTGGCAGCTGCCTCCGGAGTTCCTTTGGAAAAAAACATGAACTACCTGAGGTTTGCTGGGTCATCTTGTGCTTAACATTTATTAATTGTTAATCCTAAGTAAGAGGTACAACAAAACCTGCATGTGCGTATTGCTGAGGCTCACAATGTGGGAGTTAAATGTTCCCACTGTCTGCAGATAATTTCTTACCTTTTATTGAAATATATTGAACAAGGCAGCTTTATTCCATCTCACTCTGAACTGAACCCCGCGCCTGTGAAGTGTCACCAAGCAGGCAGAGCAGTGCTTATGTAGAGTTTGCTTCTGCTGGCAATGTTTGCATTTTGCAAGTGCTTGAACAGCATTTTTTTAAACCCATTTTCTTTTAACAAAGTATTTTTCTAAGCTTGGAAAGGCACGAGAAAATTTCAGCTTGAAACGTGCATTGCTTGTGGAGTGACCGCTGATGGCTGTGGAATGCTGTTTATCCGGGGGTTGAATCCCAGATAAGGGATTAGGGACACTGTTTGCACATATAACTGTCTTGAAGATAGCTTCAAAATGGTTTCAATCAGAGCAACAGCTCTGTAGAGCCACTCCCTCCCAAATCTAATCTCATAGGCCAGTAACCACTGATGAGGTTACTGCCGTCCTCACTGAAGAGGGCTCGTTAATTAACGTGTTGCTGCCAATTCCTTTTTCAATTATGCTTCAATTATGCTTTTTAATCCAGCACTGGGCTCCTCAAAGGACCTCAGGGGAGTTGGGCACCCAGCATGAAGCACAGCTGGTTGAGCAGCTGGACAGCCAGCTCCTTGAAACCCTTTTGAAACCCCTAAACTGAGTTTATAGACATGATGGGGGACTGATTCATCCTCCCTTCCCTCTGTGTTTTAAGATCCTACTGCAAATTTTGAATAAACAGGCAGACTCAAGCAGGCTCAAGCCCAAACATTTATTTTCAAATTTAGACACTTTTCATTCAGGCTAGCTAATTCAGTTTTATCTTTAGATGTGCTTTGGTGTAGTTCACAAGAATTGCTGTGTTTTTGCAATTTGGCTTGAGTAACAAAATTAACCTGAGCCTAGTTTGAACAATTTTTCGTCCCTCTAAAACGATCCTTGATCATGCAATATTTCAGTGTATGTGTACGTACCTACCTAGGCAGACACGTGTATACGTTTGTGTCTGCATACATAGATGCACGAGCTCATGCTCGGTGCAAACTGAAAAATCAAAGCAGTAATCTGCAAAAAATAATTGCTCTTAGATTACAAGATGGCCTAAACACCCAGTGCTCTGAACATCACGGAGGAATTTATATTTTATATTTTACCATTACTTACTCCAAGCGCTGTGCCGAACGCTGCCCTGTTTGCTAACCCTGTGGCATGATTGTTCCCTCCTGCAACCTTCCCACCCAGCTCCTGAGAAAGAAAAGGAATACCCAGCCTCTCCAGACTACGTGGAAATAGCAATTTACTGCATAGGGGTGTTCCTGATAGCCTGCATGGTGCTGACAGTGATCCTGTGCCGCATGAAGAACACCACCAAGAAGCCGGATTTCAGCAGCCAGCCCGCTGTCCACAAGCTGACCAAGCGAATCCCCCTGCGCAGACAGGTAACAGAAAGTAGATAAAGAGTTTCAAAAAAACTTTTTTCTCACCCCAACCACTAAGCCAGCACATCCTCCTGCTGAGGAAAGGGAAGGGAAGAAGGGAATTAATAAATTGCAGCAGGTTGCGGTAGGGGTGGGAGTGAGCTTAGCACAGCGATGGGCATCTCGAGGAAATCAGGGTAGGGCTGTTAGGGAGGGGAGAAATGTAAAAAATGAAATATTTCCTGTATTAGCAGTCTGTACATGAGGGGAAAAAAATGTATTTCAGCTATTTTGGGGCCTGATCCCGCAGCTTGTTGGCGTCAATGGAAAAAATGTTACTGCCATAATGGGCTCTGGAGCAGAATCCTGTTTAATTGTATATTTATGATGTTTCTAAGGTGATTATTATTGTGGTAACTAGGTACCAAATGCAGAGAGGTATTTTTCAGGGAGACTTTTGAAGACTGAAGGGAGGGAGTTTCATAGCCAGGCCTCCAGAAAACACCCCAAAATAGAAAAAAGACTGTAATAAAGTAAAAATAGTGAGATACTATATCAGATCTTGGGCAGCTTGATTACGATAATGATGCTTTTGAGTAAGAAACAAAAGCAAGTGCCAGATTTAAAATGCACACAACAGCATCGCATGGAATATATTTTACAATTGTTTGTGGCTGGCAATGAGCAATACTGGAGAGGGAGATACCACGAGCAATGATCCAGTTGAACAAGTAACAGGACTTTGGCTTTATCACAGGCCACCACTTGCCAAAACAGCCTCCATTCCCACACTCTGTCCTCTCCTGAAGGATTTGTGGTGTTTTTAGAAGCTGGTGTTTAATAGGTTTTGATTTTCCTGCACTAGGTCTTGAGGCCAGGCCTCTGCACCCCAGATTTCAGCCCTGCAGGATGGGGGATGTTGGAATCTGAGGCTGGGGTTCACCTCAGCAGCCAAAAAAATTCTGTCTAGGGGGGTTGGATCCAAGCCCTGGCCAGGGACCTGGGATGTGAGGGTTCACTTTGTGTCCATCTGCACCATGGGTAGTGGTGCAGGATTTCTGCAGATTTGTTTTTACAGTCCAGAATATTGTCACTGTCAGAGTAATACATGTACCTTAAAAAGGGTTCTTCAGCATGGGTAAGTGTTTGAAATGACATGTATGGGCACACAGAGTGGGAAATTCTGAGCAGCATTATATTTTTCTGGACCCTCGTTTCATGGTGTCTGAATTTCCTTGGTTAAAAATACCAAGGAGTGGAATACTTTAGCTACCTTCCTCTGAATTCAGTATTTTACAGAACCTTGAGGTGAGGGACCTGAACTTTTTTCAATCTGAAAGATATTTGGTTTGTTTAACGTGCAAAAAAAAGTTAATTCTTTTTTTTTTTTTAATCTTTCTTTGCCACTTTAGGATGTTTTTAGGGGATTTTGGATTTTTGGTGGGGTTTTTTGTTGTTTTGTTTGTTTTTTGATTTTGTCTTTTTT